AAAAAAAAATTCATCTAAACATTAAAAGTAAAATAAAATAAAAAAACTCATTCAAACATTTTCAGAGATCCAGTTACACAGCTAACCACTCGATTCCAAGCACGGGTATACTTATTCATTCATTATCCCTGTACGGGCATCTAACCAATTCAATTACACTCCACGGACTTATGTTACTAGTTGATACCCAACCATATTACGCAAATATCTCGCAGTTGCTACTTTCTTCGTAGTGCGGAAGACTCCTACTACTGATGCAAAAAAAGAGCCACGCTTCTACACAATAGTATCATCCATCTCAAAAGTCCAAAAAGCTTTTAGGTAATGCACATCAAAAAATGGATCAAACCTGATGAGCTGATAAATATAGTACAGAAGTAGCTCCTTCAGGATGAGCTGTCCAGGAATGTATAAGTGCCTTCGCTTGTGGCATAAGTGTGTCCCAGAGAGCAATATTTTCGTCAGCTAAGCTTACACCTGCAGTCACCAGGACAGACGATGTGGCGCCCAGAAATCTCACATCCGCGGCCAACTTCGAGTGACATTTTTGATTCTGAAATACAATCGCGCACTTTCAATCTACAATAGGTAATTTTTCAACTCAGCAACTGAATCAAATGAAAACATACAAAGAACGGCTTCTTGAACTGCATTCCTTGTGTAGCTTGCCACAGGCACAGGATACCGTCACTATCCACAGATGCAAACTTGCTGCCATTGTAGGAGAACAAAACTTTTGTAACCTAATATGATCAGTGATTATCTGTTTAGAAATCGCAGTTTATTTCAAAAAGAACTTTTCAAATGCACAAAACAATACGCACACAAACAGCAGTTAGTTCAAACCTTTGCAAACTGCCCAGCTATACGATGCGTAAAAAGCGGCTGACCAACTTTCCACTCCCATAATCGAATCGAACCATCCGATGATCCACTTACGTCTGCAAGACAAATAACCTTCCAAGTGTTGTAGAAATTATCCTGGTTTACAGTGACACCTTCCAGAGTGTATCGAATCTCAGCAGTTCCTGACTGTAAACCCCTCCCCCCGTCCCCGTCCGTTCTGGCACAACTCAGTCGTAAAACTTACAATATGGCATTGTAGGATGTGCGTCAAGTCGTCTGATCCCATTTACTTGCCTTTTGTATACCTGAAAAAAGTAGGCCTGAGAAAAGGAAATTTTCTTGGTCGGAAGTAAGCCATATGTGTTGTTGCCATCAAAAATGCATGCAAAAAGAAAAGTGCAGCGGCAAAGTATAAGCCATACTGATACAGCTACTTTGCCATTTGTTTCAAAAAAAAAAATTGAAATTCATGAGGTTCATCTAAACTTCGGCAAAAAAAGAGAAATTTTTAATTATATCGCACAACAGCACAAGTGCTTCACAACATACAGCATCTCTTTAAGATACACATACCTTCGTCAAAGCCTTCCGGCTTCTGTCAACGATAAATGGAGTCATCTGTACAGGTAAAATAATTAGCAAATAGACTGAGTTATTGTAATCGAACACAAGCACTTTGAATTACAAAACATTTCAAAATAACTGAAACACTCACAAAATTGGCAGTAGCAGTTTGTCGCCCACTTTCAATCAGTAGTTGGTAATCATCATTGTCCTGCAAATACTGCAGAACTCAATCAACTGTAATGAACAGAAATCCGAATACTTGGACGTTGGATGATTTTCACCACCACTATAAACATTTAATATAGCACAAAGCGCTAAAATGCAACTAAAATGCACAAAAAATAAACGCCCCTTCCCCTGCTCCCTCTTAATTGGTATATCAAAAATAGCAAGACCACCTGGACAATCGGTGTGGATAACAAATAACCATACTTCTTAGCAAAGGTTCAAAACAATTAAAAGAGCAAAGCTGTTGCCTTCAACACATCCTTTTTTGTTTCGTCCAATGCAACATCGAGTTCAGCTCGGCTAAACATCCAAGAGGAGAGCTTCACATTTTCGGGATCATCAAGCAGCGCTCCAATGTCCATTTCTTGTAACTCTCGAGTATTTGAAACGGCCAACAATCCAGATCCAGTCTACAAACAAGTTCTTTAGGAAAGGTAATTTGTTAACGCAGCAAAGATTTTTCAAGAAATCCGTACAAACGATCATAAAATGGCTAATGGCGCAAAACTCGGAGGGAAAAAAACCGTAAAAGAACTCAGAGTCACAAAAACACACTGATATTTAAAGTTAAAAATTAGAAATAATTAACAGCAATTTACAAAAAAATGAATATAAACGGGCAAAAACCTCAAAAACCTTGCAGATTAACAGAGGAAACAGCCATGTCGCAATTCCTCACTGATATCTTAGCATATGAATTTTGGTCCATTTCACCTACCTCACTGCAACAAAACGCAGCAATCGGTTCATTTTCTCTCTGCATAATTTTGAAGATATTTGCTGCGGTGGCAGAGGTTGATCGAATATCCACATCAGTTGCGCCCTCCTTTTGTGTGTTCTCCTGAGATAAAACACATAATGCAAATCTGTGTCATGCATAATTCTGCCTGCGCAAATTGCCAGGATTCAGTGCGCTTAAGCGTCTGGAGAGAAGACAAATGAGAGAAAATGGGTTACGTGCGGAGAGTACCAATGCTGTCTTTTGCAGCAGAAAACAGCCAGCATGATTTTCGGCCAACGTTACAAAAGAAAGAGCACGTGGAGGTAGGCAGTTCTGATTAGCAACAACGCAAATGGATTTAACTGCTGAGGAAAAACACAACAGACAGGAAAAACACAACATCTCTTTCGACAGATAAGTCACAGAGAATGTATAATCACAGTGATAATAGCCCGTACTGCTATACTTTTAAAAACACTTCTCCTGTCCCCGTCCTTCCCCTCCCCGTCCCTTATTCAACTTCAGCAAAAGAGAGGAGTAGTCGGAAGCAGCTCTAAAAAAGCTAATCGGCAGTTTCGACTTCCTAACACGCTTCAGTACCAATTTACCATCGAAACAAATGAATGATTCGTAGAGGAACTGCCTGACATGCTGGCGGAGTTTAAATGTAAATTCTCAACACAGCAGCAGCGCTAAATGCCACGCCGCAATGTCTCAATGATTTCAGTGCTCAGAAATCTACTGGAAACTGGACCTACTGAAAGAGATCTTCTTGCCTGTCCAAAAAGTAATTATTTTCAGGAAGAATTTCAGTAGGTCAGCTTCACAGAGATGAAATACTTATACAGATATGCATTTCAGCATTGCAATGCCTTTTCTGATTTGATTCTGAATGAACGGCCCTCTTTACCAATAATGAGAAAAGACGCAAAAGTAACCTGCTGCTGGTCGCACGAGGCAAAAATGTGCCTGACGAAAACAGGTAAGATATGTTCTTGACGAACAAGATAAAGCCAAATCCTTTTTACAGGTAATGATGCTGGATCAACGGACTCAAACGGTGTGTTCTTAGGTTCCATGAGAACACTGTACTTCTTCATCGGTGAAGCTGGAAAATTCAGCACCTATTAGTGTGTATATTCATATCTTGAAAGAGAGAAGCCAAAACTTTAAGAAATACTCAGAAAGCTCACATCTATCAAGAAAATCATAAAAAAATGAAGCTGGGACACAACAGCCAAGCCAATATTTTAAAAGCAGGCAGACTTGGTGTGGAAGCAAGCAATGATCTCTTCACGATAACAGCTGAGGTTCCCAAGCGGAATTAACACCACACTTGGAAGCAGAATTCCCAGCGAAGCTTCAGCTTCGCACCTTATCCGGTAAACGAAATATCCACTTCGCTACAAATATCTCTGAAGTGCCCCAAGTCGTTTCGCAGGTGCAAATCGAAACTAAATTTAGATACACGATTTCCCATATAGGCGATATATATGCTGACAAAATTTCAGCCACTGCTTTTCGGCTGGTTTTCGAGTTAGCATAGTTCCAGGTGCAAACTTTGACGCAATAGTACGCGCTGCATAAGCGTGCGCGACAGCTGAATTTGAAATCCTTAGCTCGCACATGCACAGAGAATATTCCTGCAAAGTTTCAGCTCTGTAACTTGTCTGGTTCGTGAAATCGTTTCCCGCCAAAGAAATTTGCATATTTTTTTTCTGGGGGGAGGGCGTAAGCGGGGTATAGACGCGTATGAGCGGAAATTTTAAAACGGGAGGATGACACACGGGGTAGGAACATACACCCAAAATTTCAGTCTCCCAGCTTTCCTGATTGCTGAGATGAAAGTGGATAACAAAGTTCACTCACTTCCGAACACACACACACACACACA